TAATCCCAGCTCTTGGGAGGCTGTAAACAGGCGGATCACTGAGTCCAATCTAGTAGTGAGACCCGAAACACCCTATAGATCCTTCCCTAAAATACAAAATACAAAAAAAAAAAAAAAATCAATAAATAAAATAAAACTGTCCTGGGGCTGAACCAGGGCAGCTCATAGGTTTAGCTCATTGGTAGATAGGTCCTGAGTGGAACTTCGCTGAAATGTGGGTAAGAGAGTGTCACTGAGGGGACACAGCAAGGGCCGTACACAGGCTGACATAGCACACGGCCTCCTTCACTGAGATGACAAGTTCCATCCTCAGGTCTGGTGGCCGTGAGGGTGAGACTTCAGCCTAGCAAGCCAGGAACACACTATGAATAGGTGTCCCAAAACAGGACACACACACACACACACACACACACACACACACACACACACAGCTGCAGAGAGACCAGTCTCTGTGTACCCAGTTGTCTTGTCATCTCCCTTCCAGCTCAGGTTGGTTCCTTGCCAGCCCTACCCAACCTTCAATTTTCTGGGAAGGCCCCAGGGCCCAGAGCACCCAGCATCCTAACTAGCCCCTGGGGTGGGAGGTGGGTAGTAAGAACAACAGGGGGTGGGGAAGTGCTGCCCTCTAGAGTGCCGACAGTCCTCTGGGGCTGACACAGATGGCAGGCACAGACAAAGGCATCAGGGTGTAGTGAAGAGGGTCTCCACTGAAGGAGAAAGGACTGCAGAGGTAGAAAAACCAGAGGAGACAGCCACAAGGTCTGGCATACCAGTCTGGGAGGGGAGGAGTGGCTCCCCTCACCCTCTATTATAAAGTAGGGAGAGGGTCCCAGCCCCACCCAGTATCCATTTACTCTTTTACCATACAGTCAGCATGTTTAGCAATATCAAGTACCTAGCTCTACACTGGACCCAGCCTGGATGAAGCAGCCCTGAGACCAAGGACCAACTGTTTGTGGACAGTCATTTAAAATAAATTGTGAGTCAGGTACAATGGCATGCACCCATAATCCCAGGTACCGGGGAGGCAGAAGTAGATGGGCTTGAGCCCAGGAATTAAGGAATTAAGACTAGATAACACAGCAACGTAGAGATTCTTGTGGTTCAAACAAACCGACAAAACACACACTGAAGTGTCCTGAGAAAGATGGGCTTGAGTACTTGGTGTGGAATGGGGTGATTTAAGGATGGTTTCCCTGCTGAAGTGGGATAAACTGAAACTATGGGGCAAATGAGGGGTTGGGAGGGCTGTACAAGGACCAGGGGTTATTGGGTTAGGAGAGGTTAAGAGGTGGTGGCCCTGGTATGGTGAGACATGGGCTGGGACCTCCTGGGCCTTTTCAAGGGCTGGGGACTCCTGAGAACAAAAGAGACCCTGAAGATTTGCGTGAGGAGGCACAGAGTTGGAGATGCCACTACAGGATGCAGTTCTGCATGTGTGTGAGGACTGAGTCAGCGAGGAGGCCTGTGGGATCCATGACCACACTCAGCTTTCTGACTATGACAAGGGCAGTAGCTTCCCGTGCAAGATGCAAAGTCCATTGGTGACTGACTCCAGTCTCAGAGGTGCCTGGGCATCTGCAGCCACTGTTCCACATTCTGTCAACTGTGCCCAAGGGTCAGCCCAAGTTTCAAATGGGTACTCACCAACAACACAATCCCTGCAGGCAAGTCTGGTACCCCTGTGCTTGCTGGCATTGACCTTCCATGGTCCCCTGGAACTCTGATCACCCTTGGGCCCAGCCCTGCCAGGGTTCCCTACACCACCCCCGCCCCTGGCGGATCTCCTGAGGCCTTGGTCGTTCCCATAAGTGTCCCCAGAGCTCTCTCCACCACACAATGTTGCTTGGGACCCAGTGGTCGCTAGGCTGCAGGCTGGGGCTCCCGGGCAGGCCCAGCGCTGGTGGCAGAGGTGCCGGCTGCAGCTCAGATGGCGGCGGAAGCCGGGCGCTCGTGGGCTCAGGCGCGAAGCACGTACGGAGCTAGTGAGGCACTGCGGCGTGGTCCAGGACGCCGTCGGGACCCGGGATCGCAGCCCAACGGGTTGGTCCTGGAAGAAGTCCGCGCCCCAGGCCGCCTGGCTCGCTTGCGGGGCCAGCTCCGCGCTGAGGTAGCCGGGAGAGCAGAGGCTCCGAGACTGCTGAGGCTGGTGGAGCGCGCGGGGGCCGGAGCTGGCGCGGCAGCGACCAGCGATAGGACTGATGCACGCAGCGGCGGCTCGGTGTGCTCCGTGTGCGGGGAGCCGCGCGGCGGTGCCACTTACCCTGCGGGCGTCCTGGAAGTGAGCGAGCGGCGGCTACAGGAGGGCCTGGCAGCCGTGCGCGCCGAGCTGGGCGCAGGATTAGAGGCGCTGCGAGCGGAGCTGCGCGCCGAGCTAGACGCCCTCCGAGCGCTGCTGCCGCCGCCTCCGTCGCCACCGCCCGCCCGCCGCGAGCCCCGTACCGCTCCCCGCGCCGCGCCCCGCGGTCCTGCTCTGTTGCGGGCGCTTGGCGCTGTGAACGCCTTGGTCGTGCCATCGAAGCCCGACGTGGACGCCTCTGATGGCCCTGCAGAAGGTGGTGCGAATCGAGCCCCAGTCCGGAAGAACCACAAGAAAACTTCCCTGCCACCCGGGGCCCCGCAAGGAGATTAAGGGCAGCCACACAGAAGGCGGGCCGTGGTGAAGTACCAGAGAAGTCACCGCTAGCCTGAGGGGATTTGGTGTCCCTGGCAGGGGACAAATGGAAAGATTTACCCGCCACTTGGTTCGAAGCAAGAAGATTCCCAGATGCTAGCAGCTAGAATATTTGCAGGGTGGGAAGCAGAGTTGGAGTTGGGGACTGTCCAGGATCAGTCTGCGCAGGGAGGGCGGGCGGCTCTGCACTTGTGATTAGGGCTCGAGACCTCACGGGTGTGGAAGGTGGGTAGAGTCCTTTGGTCTTAAGAATGCGTAAGGATCTGGGCCAGAGATGTGGCCTCCAGGAAAGCAGCCCGCAGAGCCCAGAGATTTGCAGCCCAGCCCCCTGCCTCTGAGGTGAGTGAAAATCCATTTTCTTTAATGGTGCTAGGGGAAGGCAAGCCCTCCACACACTGCAACAGTGTAACCCAGACACTGTGCAACAGACTCCAGGGATATACAAGTGGCTGAGACATTGGGACCTGGACACAACGTCAGTGAGGACAGTTCCACATCAATGTACAATCACATTTCCCACATATGTTATGGAGGAGGCAGCCTGACTCTGGCTTCACTCACATGACAGCTTCATCCAGTGTCCCTTGGACCAACTTTGCTTTGAACAGTGACACCAGGGACATTTATGCTTCCACTTAGGTTCACCATAGACTGCGGGATACAGCATCTCTCTAGAAAGTCTCACTCTACAATTGGACTATACAGTGTAACTTCCCAGTTTAACTGTCAGCTGTGTTTGGCTTCACCATGGGCAGACAGCTCTTCACTAGCCCTCTGTCACCAGAACCCACCAACCCAGCCCAGTCTGCAGCAGAGACTGGAACCCACAACTTCTCAAGAGGAAACTTTAGCTGGGGTCTCTACTTAAATAGTATCCTGGGTTTTAAATAAAATGTGTAATTGTGGGCTAAAAGTGACATTTTTGAGACAATGCAAGCTTTTCTCCTTCCATCTAATCAGGAATTTGAATATGTAGTAGGCTGGGATCCCCTTCTCCCTCTAAGAAGGATATGGGGGTGAGCCTGGGGCTTCTGGAAGAGAATCCTGAGACTGTGGTGGAGTGTGGAACGGTCACTAAGGGGTCTCCCAGTTGTTTGGACAGGCACTTGAAGCTTAACCTAGGCCCCATTCCGTCCCCATTCCCAGCCACATTAGCCCAAGGTCACTCTGTACATTATTTTATTTTATTTTATTTTTTTACAAGCTCTTGTTATGTAGTTCAGGCTGGCCTTGAGCTCACTGTGTAGCAATCCTCCTCCAAGTGCTGGGATAACAAGCATGCCAGTAGGCCAGGGTATGCATCATTTATTATGGGAGGAGAGTCAAGCCTGTATCCTAGGTCCCAGCCACAGCCACACACAGAGCCCCAGGCCCAGTAGAGTCTGATGTACACCAGCCAGGGTTAGGATCAGGGGTGAGGCTGCAGCATGGATCATGGCTCTGGGTGAGGCAGAGACCCTACGCCCTTCCAGGGGCTGCTGGGGGCGAAAATTATCAGTGAGCAGCCTGAGCCCGGCCCGAGGTAAGGTCTGGAACTGGGCCACCTGAGAAGGCAAAGATGAGACAAGGTGGGAAAGGCTGGGGAAAGCTAAACCTTCAGGAAGGAGGGCAGCCTGGCCCAGGGACAGGGGCCTCACCTGCGCATGTCCGATGGGTATGGCAGTCTCAAAAATGGTCCAGAGCACTGTGGGTTCACAGCCTGGTGTGGTCAGTGACCCCGAGTAGCGATAGTAGTGCAAGAGCCCCGAAGAGTCAGGCAGCAGAGAGGCCAATGGGAAGGTAGATGTCAGATTCACCAAGATTCCTGGGGGGAGGAGAGATTGGAATCCACTTCCCTATGTCCCCAGTTTAGATGCAACCCCACTGCTCCTCACCGGGTGAAGACACGTTCTTCAGGACTGACATAATAGCAGAGAAGTTGGAGTTGTCTTGGTCCTGCTCCTGGGGAGTGCAATTCCAGTGAGAGGGACCCTTGAGTTGTGTCTCTGAAGGTGGGATCTCTGGGAGTAGGGAGCAGATTCCAGTGGGAAGCTCTCAGGAGTGATAGGGACTAGGGAGATGGCTTTGGGGAAGGTCACCCCTACTGAGCACCAAGACCCAGCACTTCCAAATGGCTTCATCCTCCCAGAAATCCTTTAAATTCTATAGGACCCCAAACCACACCTCACTACCCTATAGATTCCAAAGGCCTTCCTCAACCTCTGCACACAAGATCCCCTTGCTGGAAGTCACAGGGAACACTCAGCCCCTCTCTCACCGTCAACAGCACAGCCAGCACTGCGAGCCCATCTGGGTGACGTCGTGCCTCCCCCATGCTCTGGTACTTAGCTTATGTGGACCACATGCATCTGGGGAGGCAGACATCAGGAGGTTCCTGCTGCCCTATCCCTTCACACTCCACCATCTTACTTAATGGTGTACCCTGCCATACTAGAGCCCACCTCCATGGAGCTCCGCTGCCCATCCAGGCTGTGCTCAGAGCCTGTGTGTCCTGGACTCCCCCAGTGGAAGTGCAGCTGTAGTGCTCGGTAGGCAGGTGATGGTAGCCCGGCCCCCCAGATCTTCAGGGGGCTCTGTGGACCAGTGTCCATGTGGAGTATCACTGAGGGTGAGGGGATACATGATATGCCCCTCTTCTCCTGCCAAGGCATTAAATCTAGCACAGCAGGAAGGGAGCAGCCCTCCGCTGGTGGTCTGGTCCCAGCTGTGTGTGGCTGTGGCTACCCTCCAGGCTCCCTGATCCTGGGGATACCCTAACTTCTGGGTTTATTTTGACATTTTGTCCTGCTCAAAGGGCCATAGCTGGTTACTATTTGTAAGAGTCCTGACTCCTATGGGTGGCATTTTGACCACTGTATGTGGTTCTGCTTTGTGGTAATTTTGACTCCTATTAAGTGGGGTAGGGGACTCTCATTCATGTATATAGCTTCTTAGCCAATCTGTGGGCGTTATTTTTTGTAGTGCTGAGGAGGAACACAGGGCCTCACATTCTCAGTAAGTGCTCTAGGACTGAGCTATGCCCTCAGCCCTGTGGGCAATTTTTGACCTCTACATGGTATTTCAGCTCCTGTATGTGTAAGTCCTGATGCCTGTGTGCCAATGGGAGTTCTCATTTCTTGTGTGGGGTTCCTGTCTCTGTCTGTAAGGAGTCCTGACCTTGGGGTGCTGACCTGTATGGCCATCATTCTCGAGGGTCCATGGGCCTGGAGGTGCTGAGTCATAGCCTTGAAAGATGAAGGGCCCAAGATTGGAGTCCCGCTGGACCAGGCGGAGGTCTATGTTGATGGGGGACTGGGTTGGACCCCCACAGGCAGGTGCTAGCTCCTTCCAGTGGGTGGGGCCTGAGGGAACAAGGTCTGGGATCTCTGAGGAGGGGTCAAGAAAGCAACCTAAGGGTACATAGAGGACCCCACACACCAGAGAATACCCTAGGAAACTATTAGACCATCCCTCCATACACCTGGACAGGCCACAGCTTCCATGCCTTGCCCTCATCACCTAACCTAGCCACCAAGTCTGAAGGTGGGTGCCCCATAGGGAAAGGAGGTAGACCTCTCTGGCCCACAGTGGAGACTACCTCCCACTGCATGCACTGACAGGCCTACAAACCCAGATAGGAACAGGACTAGGGATCACAGCAGTCCTGGACACAGATACAGAGGGACAGTCACAGCCATGCTGTCTTATCCCAGTCACTTGGGCACAAGAACACAGGAGCCTGCAGATACCACAAAGGGCAGTGTGCAGTCAACCTCTTGGCACCCCTCTGCTGGCTTTGCACCCCTGTGGTGGCTCCTGAACACAGGCCAATCCCACACAGCCCCATTTGACACGGTGTCCTCACCACACATTGGGTCCTGAGAGTCGTAGCACCAGGTACCTGCCAACAAGTGAGCAGGGGATGGAGCTGAGAAACCAGCTTTTCCAAAATCCCATCCCAGCAGCATCCCGGAATGGGGAGCATGTCTTAGGCTAGGCCAGTGCAGAGCCTGCTCATCTGTCACCCCGACCACAGCAGCTCCTCCTTCCGGACTCCCACCTCCCACCAGTGGCAGATCCAAAGAGGTGGCAGAAATCAGAGAACGGGGGAACTGGGTCAAGAACAGACAGGCAGAGTCCTAGCGCTCACCCTTTGAGTCCACCTGCACCACCAGTTGCACCGTGAAGAGGAGCACAAAGCCCACGGGCCTCATAGCGCAACAGCAGCTTTCACTCTGGAGAACTGAAAGAGGTTCACACTTTCGGAGCCAGTGGCTACATATTTATTAGTAGGGAGAGCTAGGGGCGGGGCTAAACCCTCCACTGGCTTGGACCGGATCACCTTGGAGTGGGCCAGATGGGGAGGTGGCAGTGCCCAGGCCTGGTGCAGGGAGGGAGAGCTCCAAGCAAACCAGGCTCCACCCTTAGCCCCACGGCTGCAGCTGTGTGCAGCAAGGTCTCTGGCATTAATCCTGAGGGGAAGAGGAATACCCTACTATTCCCATTTATAGTACTGGAAATGGAGTCAGAGAACCAGAAAGGTCAAGCCAAACCCACCAATTGGCAAGGATGTTAGTTTTAATGGTGAAATTACCTTGGATTCCCAGCGCCGCTGACGTGAGGGGCAGGACTGAAGGGCGCGGGGGAAGACATCTTTTGCCCAGCTCTCAGTATGGGATTCCATTTCCTGACCCCAAACACTGCCTCCTTTCTACTGACATCTATCTTTCCACAGACAACCCTACCCAAGTTCTCAGAGAGGTTACTGCCTTCCCCTTCTGCTGCACCCAGCGCTGGTGAGGATTAAGGCTAATGCAATAGCTTCCAGGAAGCGGGCAGGTGATGGACCAGTGGGAGCCCTCTGCTCCAGCCAGTCGCCCCAGGCTTTTCCCACTTTTAGGGGCCCAGGAGCTGTCTGTGGTGCTATCAGAGACCCAGATGCAAAAAGGCGGCTTGGAAGTTTGATTAGAAGACTCCTCTCCAGAGTTGTCCTCAGGGAGCCCTTGAGTTCCAAGTAAGTTTGGGAATTCATTGCATAGACAACAGCAACCCTGGAGCCTGGCTCTGGTCCTCCAGATCATCCAACTCAAATCACTTGTCGTCATCTGAGTGGTTTAGGGACCCAGTTCAGCCAACCCCTCATCTCGCTAGCCCACAGTTCCTATACCCATGCAGGCTGGAGCTCCCACTCCTTCACCACTGGGAGTCTAGTTACCTTCTTGGTGGCCCCAGCAGGGTGCCCAGCCAAAGCCTTGTCAGCTACTGCTCCAGAGCTTAACTACAGATGAGAACAGTCCCCCAGGAAGGGCCTGGCCCCCCTTCACACTCAACCCACTCAGGAGGTAGGGGCAAGGTTCATTCCAGCCCTCTCTGGGCATGTAAGATAATGACCCATTATCCTCGGAGACCTAGATTCCCTAAATGGGCTTCAGGACCAGTCTCTAAGAGACCCGAGGGGGCCAAGGACTGCTTTAGAAAAGGTGAACTGCAGGGAGGATCTGTATGTGTGTGTGTGTGTATATATATATATATATATATATGGCCAGAGGAGCTTTAAAGAGCCAGTGGCCCAAATTCCAGGCCCTCCCTTGCACCCACCCACCCCAGATCTCCCATTAGGACAGCCAGCTTACCACATGGGATGCAAGGCAGCTCCACTACATGCACCCATGTATCACCAGCACTCTTCAGGGTGATAGCCAATGCCCAATGCAGTGAGGTTTCAGTGCCAGAGGGATGGAAGCCCCTCACTGCACAGCTCAGCTCCCTTGGGCCTCTGCAATGGAGCACTGAGGTCTGGGAGCCACACATAAGGGCGGCCCTGTAGGAAAGCAGGTAGCCCAGCTATCCCCACCTGAACCTGTGACAGCTGGGGGGGAGGGGAGGGCTATACCAAGAAGTGACTACACCTCTTCCAGAACACAAGTTTATTTGGCATTTGGATGAAATGGTTCTCACAGCATCTTAAGAAAAGGATTAGTGCCAATCAGATGAAAAATACACCCAAACTAAAACCCTTAGTGAAACAAAAAGTAAAAACAGGCATTGAGACAATGTACAGTATTAAATTCCACCTCCACAAGGCAGGTCAGAGGGCACCTGGTCTCAGAAAGTGCCATGACAGTCCTGGGGCAGAAGGTCCCTCCCAGGAACTTGGACTGTCTGTCCCTTTGGGCTCTAATATGTGAGGTGAGCGGGGGCATGTCTCCCACAAGAACACATCTCAGCAAAGGCCAACCTGTCAGACCTCAGAGGACAACCAGATCTTGCAGAGGATAGGTAAGAATAGATGGGCAGGCCCCAGCAGAGTATGGCTCCTGGAGCCACAATAGTTGGTGACCTGGGCAGCCCAGCACACAGGCCTTCTGCCAGTCTCAGAATGGCAGTAGGCTAGGCATCAGTTGCCAGCCCTGGGTATCTGATGCTTCCCCACCTGAAAAAGACCCACTGGCAACTCTGACAGAACACTTGCCAGTCTTGAAGCACACACACCTTGAAGCACAGTCCACTATGGATTACTCTCTTCCTTACTACCTCCCTTACCTGCCTACCTGGCTCCAACAGTCCTCTGGTCCCTCAGAGCAAGCTTCTCAGCCCCCACACTGTGCCCGCTCCCCTGCCCATTTCTGACGCTTATGAGGGAGGTAGGTCCCTGTGAAGCTTTGCTGGAATGGTCCTCAGAACCTTCATAAGTCTCTCAGAACCAGCACACTGAGGTCTGCTTTGTTCTCTGGTGGACATGAGGATCTTGTTTCCATAAAGTCATCCTAAGCAATAGCCCTTGGCAGGGAAGCACAGACTGTAGCATCTGGTTCCTATGGGCCAAGCCCAGGGACAGGATGTTCGATGATAAAAACATCTCCGGTCAGCTCTTGGTCATAGTTCATCTTTGAGCAACTTGAGATCCCCTTTTACAAGGTACCTATAACTGGGCTAAGGCTCCACAGAACCAAATGTGTCAAGGACTCTTCCCCACTGATGTTCCTGAGTGGGGTAAGGCTCCCTCATGCAAAGACCATGTGCTAAGGGTAGGATCTTAGGCACAGTTCCATCCTAGGGTAGCCCAAGACAAAAATCTAAGATCTGGGGCAGCAGGGCACCACCCCACTCTGAATTCCTATGAACTACCACCTGCAAAATTCTGGCCATATACACACACAGACACGCGCACGAACGCATGTGCACGCACGCACACACACACAAAGAAAAGATTCAGACATTCAACGTAGAAAAGATATGGATGTGCTAAAAATCGCACAGAACCCGCTTAATTTCCAAACCTCAGAAATGGTAAAGGCCTGTGTCAGGAGACAAGACCACTGCCCCCATCAGGCCTCAGGGACCCTCAAGCAAAAGGCCCCCAAGTACCCAAGGCTGCTGAGGGAGGGAGGCGTGCATGCAGCCACCAGGTACTAGGCTCTAGTGGTGGCAGTGGTGCAAGACTTTCAGGAGATAAACAGCCTGGGATGTTCAGTTCAGCCACCCCTCCCTTGAAGGAAACGCTTTATGGCACAAAGGTGGGGTGAGAGCAGACCAGACCCAAGGGCCATTCAACAGGGGGGTGGAGGGAATGGGTACCAGAAGATGGGGAAAGGTAACAGTTTGACCCCATTTCTTCAATGGGGAGGGTCCAGACCCTACTCCCAGGGGAGCCATGCACAATGTTGGGGAGAGGCCTCTTTGTCACACAGCTGGGCTTTCTGAAAGAAGTTTTCAACCTCCTTCTCAGGGCCTTGATCTCTGATGTTCACACATAGACCTGGAGGGGCCACTCCCAGAACAGCTAATGTAGCACATTCAAGGCTGTCTCCCTGGAGGCATACCCACTGCCTCACTAGTCATAACTGTTCACAGATGGCTCCAGCCCCACCCCCAGGGCCTTCTGTTCCCATAGTGCCTGTTCTTCCCTCCTCCTGAAATGTGTGGTGTGGGCACACACTGTCATTCTTCTCCCATTTAAAGAGACACTGACCCAAAGCTATGCATGTCTGTAAAGCCCTCAAGGAAACTTGGTTACGGGTGCTTGCCCCTTGCAAAGAGGCAGCTGCGGTCTCTCTATATACATGCACACCAGCTGGTGGGTGTGCGGCAGTGGAGCAGGGTCCAGGCTGCAGCAGGGCCCCTTCAAGCGTCCCACAGGGACTAGTGTCTTCTCGACAGCGAACAGGTACTCTCAGCCCACAGGAGTCATGGGCTGGGCTGTCTATACCACAGTATTGAGGGAGCCAAGACTGGGACGGCCACCTCCTGGTGATTCCTCTGCAGCTGGGGTGTTGCCACTTTGGGAAGGGTCAGAGGGCATGAGCAGGGCACTGTTGCTGTCTGCAGAATCTTCCAGGTCTGCCAGTGAGGTCCCCGGAGGGGGAAGAGGCTGTTCCAGGCACTGAGGCAATGTGCCTTCACTGCTACCATCCCCTGGGGTCGGTGGGCTAGCCTCTGCAGGATCAAAGGCATCGTCCTCTGCAGGAGAAAGGAGTACAAGGTTAAGTGAGGGCCGGGCAGACTGGGGACACTTCTTCCTGAACACCCCTGCCACCGCTATATGGTAAACATGGCCCACACTGGACCTCAGATTCTTGGGGGGTGAGGAGCCCTCCCACGAGGGGCTTCACTATGCACACCACTCCCCAGGGTCTACTCCTTTCCAGGCTGGCATCTAATTTGTACAAGGCACAGTCTGAACAAAGCAGACAAGGCTCTGTTTGGTCACTGCAGGGCAGTAAGGCAAGATGCAACAATAGAGTCATCAGAAGAAAGGGAGGTCAAAGGGAAACCACCTGAGATACACCAAGAAGATAGCAGAATGTAATGCCAGGGAGTTCCTGGGCCCTGGAAAGTGAAGAACAGGGAGAGCATAGGAGACTGGGTCAGAGCAGGCAGCATGGGTACATGACGAATGCAAGAGAGAAGCCTGAGAGAGGCATTCTTCCCTTCACCCAGCAGGCTTCTTACTACTTTGGGCAGCTTCTATAAGCAGGTGGCAACAGCTGCCAAGAATGTGGCCCCTCCAAGCCACCAACAGTCTCCCTGCCCTGCGCCTACCATAGCCTTTGCAAACAGCCTGTCCTATCCTGGTACCTCTATGACAATTTGGACCCTGAGGACAGGGGACAAGTCAAGTCTATTATACCCCAAACCATACAGCAGTGCCAGGCTAGTATGCCGTGTGCTGCATGAGAGCTTGCAAGGAGCTGGCTGTCTTGGGATGGCACTGCCCCACAAGGCCACTGCAGGGGTGTTTAGAGAGTATAAGGCACAGGAAAAAGGATGGGACACTTGCACTACATACCAGGGACAGAGACTGGCAATAAGGTGGGGGGACCTGATGGTCCTTAGCTGCGCAGTCCTGGGAGGAGCAATTTCCAGGGTCAGATGGAATGTGACTCAAGCAACTGGTCCACAACACCAGAACCAGTACTTTCTTCCCACTTCCCAGAGCCGCTTCCAGTTATGTCATAACAGTTTCTCAGCCCACCACATGAGCACACATCTTTATAGCCAAATGAGCGGCTCCTAGGTCTGGGTCATGGCCAGTCTTGTCCCAAGATCACCAATGTCTGGTTTCCCATCCCTGTACAGAGCCAGACCAATTGGGTCCCAACAGCTGCTCAGGAGGGAGGTGGGCAGAGTCGTAGGAGCAAGAGGATCTTAGACCTCCCCAGAATTCTTGGCATAGATATGGATGGAAGAAGAAATCAGGGCAGATGAGCAAACCCCTTATGTAAGGGCAATCCTGGAAAGCACCCTAAAGCAAAAGCCAAAGAGAAGGCCAGAAAAAAGTAAGGATCCCAGGCCTCTCAACCTAGAGAAGACCTGTGCTCTGATGACTCCATCTTCCCTGGGATGAGCAGGCACCTGCAGGATCGTAGAACACACTGTCCGGGTTGATGGAGGCCTCGTAGGGTGGTGGTGGGTCATCAGGCTGGTCGATATCCGGGTACTTGTAAGCTGTGTAGGGAGGCGGAGGATCGTGGAAGTGGAAAGTCCCACCTTCCCCATCATCAGAAAGATGGAGTGGGGTAAGGCCTGTGCCGAACCTATCTGGGCCATAGTCAAAGCCAGGTATCCTCCGGCCAAGGTTGAAGTGGTGCACTGGGCCGTCGAAAGTGAGAAACACAAGCAGAGCTGTGTCATTTGGAGACAGGTAGACTAGTTTCTGAGCCCTCTTTCTGAAGTTGGACCTACCATCTTAAGTACCATACACCTATAGCAGGATGCCCACCTGCTGGCTATACCTAATGTATCATACAAGAACTCTAAACATGAATCTCTCATCCCCAGGCCCCTACTCAAACCCACAGGTAATCTGTCATTTTGTCCTGCCACTTTATCCTGTCTAATGTGCTTCTATGTGTCTAACCCATATGTTCTGCTCACTCTGGAACTCAGTGAGCATTAAGGACAATCAGGGTGAACCCTCCCACTCATGGACAGAACACTAGCATCTCAGCTATGTGAGGCCTTCAAACAACCTGGATGCCCTGGGAGTACCAGGGTCCCTTACAGCAACTGGAAAGATCCCCTCAAGTTGCTACCATTTGCCCCCAACCCTCCCATACTGGAACAGGCCTTCTAGTTGAGCCTGGTACATTACTGAGGAACTTAGGCTATGGAGGGTAACACACACTTATCTAAGCTGTCTAATGGTCATGGTATATGAGGCCCCCACTCTAGCAGGTCCATACTCATAGTTCAGGTCACTGAAAAAGTGATACCACTACCTGAATGAACATGCTGCCCTCAGAGGTGTGAATGTTCAGAGGGTGAGAGGACTGCCTAACTTCAGACCTTGGGCAGCTCTTCTTCCCCAGGCATGTGCTTGATCTACGAGCAGGTGAGTGGCAGGAGAAGCTGCCACTGCTCTCCCATACTTGGAAGAGATCCCAACTCCTCCTCTTCCTCCCTAATTCTTACCAGAGTAACTGCTAGTATCTCAGCTTACATTAGACTGTACCTTGGAGTGATACAACCCAGTACTGGGGAGACCTAGAGATCTGAAACAGGGTAGACAACATGGCCCTCGGTGGGCACTCACAGTTTGCTCCAATCAGGGACTCGATGCGCTCTCGGCGCCTCTGGCGCAGCCGGTGGACCATGAAAAGCAGCAGTGAGAGGATGAGGAAGGAGGAGATGCAGCTGACCACCAAGCGCATACCGCTGGCCATGGAGTCAAACAGGTTGTTGCCATCTGTGAGGTAGGGAGGAATGAAATCCACCACTCAGAAAAAGAGCTTTTACGACAGGGGTGCAGCTCAGTGGTGGAGCACCTGCCTAGCACAAGCGAGGTCCTGAGTTCCATTTCCAGGCAGAAGGGTGTGGCACTACAGTGTACAGCTGTACTTGATAATCTTAGGACAGAAGGCAAAATAAGACCACTCAAAGTCAAGAATAATGAAACAACACTGGAAGTAGAGAAGGGAGCATGACTGTTCAGAAGGATGTTCCTACATGACTATCTATGGTGGAGCACCCTCACCTTGCTTTGGGATGGTAGCTGCCTCAAAATGGTTCATGCTCACTAGGCAGTAAGCCTGATTTTTGAGGAGCCGCAGGGCTCGATGGCTGTTGTGTGTAACACCCCTCCAACTGTCACTGTCCAAGAAGTGAAGACTAGCATTTTTAGAAGGCTGAGGATGAGCAGCTCTGTGTGTCCAGATGCAAAGCTGCACATGAGGTCACCACCTTTGGCTTTTGCTCCTTAGGACATATGACGCCATCCCTGCCTCAGACAGGACAAAGCATTACCAATTATACCCAGTGTTCCAAAAACACCAACACAAGATCCAGGAAGAAAGGCAAAGCCTTCCTAGCCTTTCTGTTCAAGGCCTGCAGCTCTATGAAGGAAGGAGCTGGGTTACACACTGGAGCACACCTGAGTGAGACCAGGTAGCTGCCCTGTCTCAGGATGGGCCATGGTAGCCCTCCATTGAGCCTCCGGGAGGCTTGAAGTGGGCATGATGCCCTGAGCAGCTTAGGAAGGACAGGCTGCAAGAAAGAAGTATGAAGGTTGGGGAACCCAGTGAGGAGGTGCCTATAGCATTAAGAAAATGACAAAAGAGTCTGGGATGGGGGTGGAGATAGATACGAGGAAATTATAGCACAAGATAAATTTAGGTCTCAGAATGACCATGTTTCAGCGATGGACTGGGGAAAACACAGGAAACACCTGCTGCTGCCACACAGGCTTCCAACATCTGCCGGGGACTAAGTATACAAAAGATGGTCACTCTGAGCATGGTGCAGTGAAGCACTTGAAAACCCCAGCACTGACCTTCCTAGTGCATCACACCCATGCAGGTGCAAGAGTGGCTAGGGTGGCCCAGCTCTACCTGTGTGCTCAGGGAGTGTTGGGAAAAGGGACTATGACACCTTGCTCTAGTTGGGCTAAAGGCCAAGCAGCAACAGATGCAAACCATAGCACTTTCCCTGACTCTTCCAAGGCCCCCCTGCCTCTACCCTTTTGGTGCTCAACACCTTGGGGAGGAGGTGCAACTGGCACTCAGTAGTACAGTCTAGGGATGCTGATCTACATTTCAAGGCACCCAGATGGTGACATGCACACATCTGCCAATATCTCAACAATGCCACTGAGGGGGACACTCTGTCTTGCCCTGGTGCACACTATGTATGAACTGCTGATAGGAGAGGTGATATACGTGATATGTGTAGTACCAAGTGAGAAGAGGACTTGTACTGGTTAAATGCCTACACTGTGACTGCATTTCCATGTGCTCCTAATCTAGATGACACTACAGCTCACATCAAGTCGCAGGATGATCAGGTAGGAAGTGGCCCCAGGCCTATGTGCCTCCACAGACCGACAGCAGAAGCCAGGCAGGCTTCAGGGATAAGATGAGCCCACTGGCTCCTGGACCCAGAAGCACCCCATTTTACTTTTTTTTTTTTTTTCCAAGTAAGGGTCTCACCAGGCAGTTCAGGCTATCCTTGAACACACACACACACACACACACACACACACACACACACACACA